GTGTTTACTGTATTGGTTCTTTGCTGTATATTAGCTTACCTGTATTAGATGTGTTAGAAACTAGCAAGTAGCTCAGTGGCCCAGATTTCTTGTTACTGGGAGGCAGTTTGGTGCCAAGTGCCTTTCCCTTCAGTGGCAGTTGATTTTAAACCTCACCACAGGGGGCCATTTAACCATGTATGTGTGTGAGTAAATGCACAAATGTGTGTTTTTTTGTGCAGAAAGAAAAAGAGACAGGCAACTACGGATGTCAGCACACGCATGTAAAGATGAATAAAGCCAAGAGTTTTCTTACGCTGTGTACCGCATGCATGCAAAAGTCTGCATCTCAGTTTGACAGTCACGTGTCACAGTCACGTGTTTTGACTAATTCTCCACCATGCAACATTATGCCAGTGTGTGTGTGTCTAAGTGTGCACGCTTCATTCACCATCCATTAAAACCAGTTCAGTTCACCTAGCTTAAAGTCAATGGTATAACACACAATGAATGTGTGTTCTCGTGTGTGTTGGCAGTGAGAGCTAAAGGTGTCCGGCCAGAAGAGTGATCAGAATACCAGTCAGGATTAGTTACAGGATAAAATGGTAATCTGGCCCACTTTTCACAACAAACAAACAAACATTATCTTACTTCATCCATCCCTCTGCCTTTTTTCTTTGTTCCTTACATACTGAATATACAATATAATTTTTTGCAGTACAGAATTATAAGTCATGCGTAAGGCAGTGTTGTGTTTGACAAAACTATAAAAGTATTAAAGAGAATTAGGGACGATGAGGGTTTGCAGTCATTTGACTTAACCACTTGCTCCTGTCAGCAGTATAAAAGGGCTGGAATAAACAGACAATTGCTTTATTGCAAACCTTTAATTTACCTGTGCAGTATTATGTCATCGCTGGTTGCTTACATGACAAAACATACCCCCTCTTTGCACTTGAACTCTTGAGCATCTGGGAGAAAGTGGGAATTATTTTTTTCTTTTTTAAATAGAAAAGGTATTGTGATGATGTGAGGGGAAAAAAACGTGTGCAGACAGCAGGAGATTGAGAAATAAAGTACTTAAAACCCACTCAAGGGGAGTGGAGGAGGTGTAGGAGCCCCTCACCACCAATCTACATTGTGCTTTGTCACTTCCCGGAACTGTTGTGAGATTTGCCGACTTGCATACTGTTATTGATTAACCATGTCTTTTTTTTTTTTGACTGAGCGGATGTCAGTGTCTTGGTTCTCGACTCTGTTGGTTTAAACCACTTTGGTCCGGTTGGGAGCTGGAAACAGAGCAGCCTTTAGATGTCGCTAGCAGAAATTTTAGACCGACTGGTTGCATTCTTTTTTAATTATTGACTAAAATGAACTTATCACCCTTTTAACTGTGTTTTGAAGATTAATGGGGGAAAGCAGTGCTTTAATGTTTAAGCAATGCACATAGACGGTTAGATAGCTACAGGCAGAACTACTACCTGTGCACCACTCTGTCTTTCTTTATCATCTCTTCTCAAAAATGAGACCTCAGACTGAGCACAGCAGACATTCCTGCAGTGCAACCGTGAATCCTGTAAGGCGTTTATCCAGTTTCACTGTGAAACTCAAGCAGGTGACATGCATGACTGCCAATCATCACATTTGAACAGGAAGTGGCTCAGGTATTGCTAATGTTGCGCGTTTACACAGTCACCCTTTCATATCTACACAATTGTTCAATTTTAAATTGCTGCGTTAGGCGGGGATGAGGTTAATTGAAGTTATACTAAAGGATTCACTAAGTCTTCAGGAAATGAATCTGCACCAACGTAATGTACCCTAAAGTCATGGGGGCTCCATAGTAGAGTCAGAGATCCTTAGTTTGATCCTGAGAGGCGACATATATCCCTTTGGGGTTGCATCAATAAGGGAACCTGCCAAGTCAAACATGCAACAAACCCACTGTGACGACCCTTTGTGAATAAGGCAGCAGCTGAAAGTAGTATTATTACCCTAAAGTCACGTTTATATGACGTATGTGAATGTGATTCCCTGGAAATATTTTCTGTCTTTCTGTCTGTTTTTCTCAGGCTGAGTTTTCCCAGAATCTCTAAATTCCCAAAGTCCTTTCACCCCAGCATCGTGCCGACTGTGTCTGATCTCTCTGTCGCTGCTCACAACCAAATTACAGAGGAAGACGGACAGATCATCTGGAGGGCCTTGCTCCCACACAAAGATCCCCCGCCAAAGCCCTTTGACCTGTTGGTCGACCAAAGCCACAACGTACTACCGGAGGTGCCAGTCTGGCAGCGCGGGTCACGGGGTCGTCGCCATGCTGGTAGAGGCAGGGGCCACCCCCACCTGATGAGGGTGGGGTGTGTCCTAGGCACCTGTCAGGTTCAGAACCTCAGTCACCGTCTGTACCAGCTGATTGGACAGAGTGGGAGGGAAGACTCCTCCCCAATTAACCCCCGCAGTCCTCACAGCTATGGATAAGGCCACACCCACTCACCCACACTCAAGACAACTTCATCAACATCTGCTGGCAAATTACCCAGGTCCACTGTTACACTAACTATATGTTCAGGCTCAAAAATATTGCTACTGCTGTCATTCCTTAACAGAGCAGTTGTGGGGTTTTTACTGCTTGGGTCTTATTTTTATAGTTTTGACTAAAACTCTCATCAGTAATAAGAACACGGTACTCACAGAGTAAACTGTTGAATGCTTTGAATGAGGCAACATCATGAAAAAGACAACAGCAAAGACTAAGAGGCCATTTGGAAAGGTCAGAGTCCCTTGACTGGAAACAGCAAACTGCTTTTTTTTTTATGTCAGAGTGCTTTGGTCACTCAGGAGTCTTTCCCAAGACAACTTCCTGCTTCAACTCATTATCACCAATTTGAGATTGAATCTATCAATTATTCTGATGAGTACAGTGCTATTGTAAGCTACAGATACGATTGTCAAATCTGTAAAAATAACACTTTTTAAAGATTATTACCTGTAGTGTGGGCTACAGCATTATACCGAGCTAAAACTAGAGTCCTATATGTTTTGGCATTTACAGCACGACTATCTTTGTAACCAGACAAGCCTCTCTCAACCAATCCCTACCTGACTAATGTCTGCTGATAAGTGGTTATCCTCCTCCTCTTAACTTACCTGAGCTCAGTGTTAATCCACAATGTGTCTTGAAAGCACATTTATCCCTCTCTGCTTCAGTGCAGACAGAACCCGAGAATAACCCCCAATCAAACCCAATTAACCCTTCACCCAAAAACCCACAGTGCATATGATCAGCCAAAATAACCACTAACCCTAATCCGTAATCTGTCTGTGCACTTAACAGACACCGTAGCAGGTCTCGACTCTATTAAACCAGAGGGAGGACAGCCGCACTCCATATTCTCTGCATCAGTTTGAGCCTTAATTGATCATTTATAAGGCCTTACAGTGTTTTGCCTTTCACCAGCGCAGATTAAGCATGCCATTGAATTTAGACCATCATTTTTTAAGCTTTATAGTTTGTTTTATTCTTTTCTCTCTGTGTGCACGTCAGCTCATTATAACTCCCGTTTTGGTAGTTCACACAGGCTATTATTAGGAATGCATGAAAGCACTTTATTATCCTTTACATTCAATATGACTTGAATTTTAAAGGTGTGTTATTTAACTTTAAATTAATGGGTCAGTTTTGCTGTAAATATCACACTTTAGTAAATCTTTGTTTTCATATACACTCCATTCAAAGACACAAGTGTCCTTTTGTAAACCATTGTGCTGTTTTCTTCTAACACTGATGTTAAATAAAACCTTTATAGTTATTTCACCTGTCAACAGCAAATCGAGGCGTCAGTGTGAAGTTTTTTGTGAACATTTCATGCTGTATTATACTGACAATATTTTACAAATGAAGTAAAGTTACAAACCAGCATCATTTTACCCTTTTCATATCCATGTTGCCTCCTTTATTCTTTCACTATGAAACACTTTTTTGTCCATTCCTAAAAGGTAAGTGTGACTTACATTCACGTTTCATTTCCTGTACATGCACAGAACAAAGCAGGTAGAGTTCAAATGTTCAAAAAAACACACATTGTAAGTCACGTTCATAAACAAAGAGCAGAGGCAGGGGCTAATGAGGCTACCAGACTTGATCCAGCTCCTTCTACAGCCACAAATAGCTTTAGATATAAAACATATTTTACACAAGTATAATAAACCCCACGGTTTGCAACATTTATATCAGATGTGCAAATTCTGTAAATTCTCCCAGTTTAAAAAAAAAAAAGAATAAAAATGTGATGCCATGCTTGATCGCATGCAGGCTGTTGTTTCTCAACAGTTTTGGGAGGCATTTAATGTGGCCAATTAGATTTAAGCGTGGGCCAAGCCTCTACCACCCCCAGATACACCCCTTAAACGCAAATCAGAACTAGAAATATTTAAGCTTTTCTGAGAAGTTATCTTGTGTCCAAAAAATTATGCCCAAAAATGTTTTTTTATGCCGTACAGTATTATTAACACATAAAACAAAATGTAAAGATCTGTTGTACTCCGTGTCCTCTCCGAGGGAATGTAAAGGTTGCAAATCAAAATTCAAATCCAAATATCTCATCACAGCAAAGCGGAAAAATATGAAGGTTTTCCTGTCGTCTGTTCAGTCTTTACAATGTTCACCTTGTGACCTGGTAAAGAGGCAGGCATTTGGTTTATGTGACAGACAGCAATCAATAAAAAAAATAGAAGTCACGAAGTAACGCTTGTTTGGACATCTTTGTCAACTTTACCTCTGTTAATCTGCGTTTGAACCAGCTGATACTTGAAAGACAGGACCGCTGATACTGAAAAATCCCAAGTCAGAGCCTGCCTTCATGAGGACCAGTACCCATAGATTACAAGAAAGCAGAATTGTTTTGCTATTTAAATAGTTTGTGATATAGTTTGCAGACATGTAAATATGACAAATCTACTGCATGTAATGCATACATAGTATTAAAAACAGATCTACATATGTGTAAAAACTTTTTCTCCCCGATAATTATAAAAAAATAAAAACAACTTAACTTTGAAAAGAAGTACTGAGTCATTCTACATAAGCCCAAACATGCAATCTGCTGATCACTGAAAAGCTCTTCCTGGAACGGACAGACACTCTGACATACAAAAACACACAAACAAGGCCAACGTGCAACACAGGGTACCCCATTACATAAAATTTGGTTAAAGTGTGACAGGACATTGCTGTAAACCTAGCCCCTAATGCACGTCAAAAAGGTTACAGTTTGAACCAGGAGGATATATATGGGCAGGCGGACAGTGACCACCAGAGCATCGACGCATCACAACCCATCACAACCCAACAGTAACTGTGATTTCACCTATCAGCCATGAGGATCATCAACATTGTAAGTGTAATTTTTGCCCATTCACACCATTCATTTGAAAGCAGAGTTGCTGCATAGCTTTGTAAAATCTGAAAATGTTCTTTTTACTGCTCAAAGGGTCCGGACCCGTCTCTGGCATATCGGCCAAATTTGGAGACAAGTAAGGCAAAAGACAAGGAAGACTACAGAAACTTTGAGGTAATTAAACAAACCAGCTTAATTCCACATTAATTTATGAGTTGAAGGAAAAAACTGAGGTTATAATTACAGGCAGACATAACTGGCTTTAAGTTAAAAAAAAAAAAAAGCTGAGCTTCAGAGTGAGCCAAAACTTAAGCAAAATATCAAAATGTGCCTAACACTAACCCAAGGCTGACCACAAGGGGAGTTCAGGTTCTTATTTTCTACTCAATAGAGTCTGACTTCTGGCAAATTTCATCAGTTCTGTAACAGCAGATCATTCACTCAGTTCATTTAGTCATTCACTGAGTTTAAGCTTCCACAGTGGGGTCAACTCACTGAAAGATAGTTGAGTTTTTATCAGCAGAGGCTGACACAGTTCTGCATATGTGCTCAGATTTTTAACTAATCAAACATTACAGTCTAATGCAGATTTTCCGAGAAGCTCATTGATTTGATGGTCTGATCTAACTAAACAACTATGTAACCCAGTGTTAAAAACGGGATTAAAAGTATAAATATTCATACTCTCACAATGGGAATAACAAAGTTTGATAAAAACAAAGTTAATTATAATAAATGCTGATAAAAAGCATGTAAACATAAGTTTAATTAATATGTAAATATGTATATGTAATATATAAATGGTGTGGGGGCAGGACTTAGTCCTTTAGAGTGTGTTTGTTAGATCCACTGAGCGACCAATCATTGGCCGGTGTTGTGCCAAAAACTGATTGCTTGTATTTAAACTGCTATAAATAACT